AAACTGGCGCGATGTGGGACCGACGCGCGAAAAACACGCAGGATTCGACACGGGAAAGACACGAAATTACGTTTACTGCTACTGCGACTGCACGTGAGCATTTCCAAGCTTATCTCTGTTACGTCACTATTACCCGCTATTACCGTTTGGATTTGGCAACGCACGATATTCTTTGCATAAGTGCATTCCAGTTTGACGGAATCTCAAAATGCTGCAAATTTGGACTTTTCCACGAGTAACGATCCGAAAGAATGTAGGAAAGCTCGTGCAAAAGATGCTCCTTTGAGCCGGCCGTTTTGAGATATGGCAGAGATGAGAAAATGGCAGTGTTACTTCTTCGACAAATTCAACAGAAGATGCTGTAGTTCGGAGAGTTTCTTTGGAAAGAGGGACTATATTGAACGAATAAGAAAACGTCCAATTCGACGGAAGAGTCTTTTAGGTCCGATACGAACGAGAAAATTCCATCGCTTCCGGGCGTTAATCGGCCGAAAGAAGAACGATGCGAGAGCGAAATTGACGATGCAATTCGTCGCAAGAAGACGAGATAAGGTTAAACAACCGGTGTGTCAATGGTATTGATGCAAATGGCGGGAAGCTGTACATCAAATGCAGACACATTCAGTGCAAACATTCAAGTGGCCACAAAGTCCGAGATGTCGACAAAGAAATTTCGAGTACGGATAAATTCTGTTTATAAAATATTAATTGGACCTTTCCATGTGTGTGATCGCGTTACTTCTTTTTTTAACTTATTAAAATGGCAGACACGCTATTTTCTTCTCGAAAGACCTTGTCCCAAACCTAAAGGGGTTCGAAACTATAGTTTACTGCTTTAAATATGGTAATAAGACAATTCTATTCAGAAGATTCTTTTCAAAGATTCCAGAAAGATAGACAAAATTTCTTCTTTTAAAATATAGATATTTACAAAATCCATTAAAACAATGACATTGTCATTTCGTGACAATCCATAATATGTACGATGCATCTGATGAGTAAATTTTAAAAATATGTATTACGCATGATTACGGGATCGTTACATTTTTCATTTCTTGAATAAAAATTTACGAATGAGAAATATTGATACAGCGCTCTCGGCATCGTTTGTCAAGATATAGTTTTTCCGCATAGTGTATATATATAGACGAACTATATGGTGAGGACCAGCAATTCGTAGAGTTCAATGAGCATAACTAAGTAATTCGCCCAGACACCAGGTCGATCTATCCGAAACCGTTAATTTCATCAAGTAATAACACTCTAGTGCATTCGAACTCGACAGGTACCCACTGTCAAATTGCCGAGTGGACGTGGTAATTCCGTTAGCGGAAACGCCCTTTTCCGGTTGTTTCTTCAAACGTTAACGATCGTAACGTCGGACGGAAAAAAAAACACTTTTAACGTAATCCTTTTAACGTGAAAAGAAAAAGAAGTTGATTCAATTAATCTCGCCCGATCAATCGTCATTAAATAAACCATACGATGATATTAGCAAGTGTATCGGCTATCGCTCACGAGATCACAAGTGCAAAACATTTCAAAATTAATTGCAAACTTCGCTCGTTTATTTATTTTTTATTTGTCCATCTAACTTGACCTCTAATAAATACTTTTATCTCAGGTGATCAATAATTGGTATCATCGATATAAATCTCATGTTTTTATATGTCCAAGTAACCACGAAAGTAGTACTCGGGTACTCGAACTCATGGATACGGAGAGATATCTAGATGTCCATACTCACGAATGCTACTCAAGGGTACTCGCTTATTTAAAATAAAACAATTTTCATAGAATCAGAGCTTTTTCTAACATTTATACACGTAATCTTTATTTCAATTTATAAAAATGTTGAGATAAAATCGATGAAAAGTGAATGCTTTGATGGATAATGTGTAGAGAGAAATAAAAACGATAAAAATAAATAATTGGACATTTTCGAACACTCGACTATCCGGATAATATCTTAAATACCTAAATGTACAGGGGCGATCCTTGTAGATGACATAATTTCTATTGGGCGAATTTTTAATTGCTGATTGTCGATTCAAGGTAATAAACGCTGAAGAGAAAAGATCAAAGGAGAAAAATAAATTTGAGTTTTTGCGATATAACTTGCAGTAGCGGATTAATCAACAGCCTCTTGACAGACATATAAAATTCGTAAACCACGGACTTGTGTGGCGATCTCGGGGAAGACGTCGAGACCCGTAAGTAACTCGCGAATCCCGTCAAAGAGAGACAAAGACAGCCACAGAAATAAAGAGCGCGGCGAGGGAGTCGGAATGAGGTGGGGTGAACGATAAACGGGGAGAAAGACGCTGTACTCCCTCTCTCATTCTCTCTCCCCTCTCTCTTCTCTCTCTCTCTCTCTCTCTCTCTCCCTGCCTCCCTCCCTCCCTCCCTCTGCCTCTGTCTCTCTCCCTCCGCGCAAAAATATCCCCGTTAACGATTATCAGCCCCTCTTTCCGTCTCGCGTCTCGTTATATTGTGTCCCCGTCGCGCGCGCAAATTTAGAAACAAAAGACGGGTGGAAGGCGCGTCCCGATTGGCCGACCGGTCTCTGGCTCCTCTCTCTGATTGGCTCGCGGGACCGCACCCATCCTGTAATGGCCGCTTTGTCGTTCCACGGCGCTCTGTGTGTACGCGCCTGCACGCTTCAGGCAGACTCGACAACCCCGTACCGTCACGATCCCCAACCCCCGCCAACCACCCTACTCCTACTTGGCCCATCGACCACCCCCGCCGCTCGTGGCGGCCGCTCTCCGTACCTCGAATTATATCAAAATATAATCACACGGGTTGCATCGTAGTGTGTACGCGTGTACACACTACAAACTCGCGCGCGCGCGCGCGCGCGCACGCGTATGTACGTGTGTTCGTGTGTTCGTGTGGTAGGTGAGTGCGCATGTGTCGGGTGCATACACGTGCGGATATCTGTATGCATGGAGCGCTCATTCACTTACGTGGACACGTGGAGGTGTCCGAGTCCGTGGCCTGCGGGCCATTTTCTCCCGCTACGTACTTCCTCTCTCCCTCCTTTTCCTTCCTCCGAGGTCCTCCTCCCCCCTCCTCGCATCTACGACGCGAATCGACAAGCGTGATAAGTTAGCGACGATGCGGAGGGAGGGAGGGAGCGTGCGAGTGCACGAGCGGCGTGAGGGGGCCCTCTTAGTTGAATCCACTCGGGCACCTCTGACGTGCGCGATACGTGCGAGCCGCGCTAATGCGCGTGCACACGCACGTGATCGCGCGCCGTGCCGTCGAGGGTGAGTCGCCGCGCATGCCGTGACACTCGGCGGAGGTGTCCTCCCGTTGTCTCTCTTTCACCCCCGTTGTCGCCGCACCCGCCGCCGCTGTGGGTGGAGAAGTACGAGGCCAGAGTCCGGATTTTCGGCGAATTTTCGGGATATACGCGTCGAGCCCTTTAACGTCGGCCGTGATACGCGGTTCAATTAACGAGACGGACGAGCGTTGAAATTCTCGATGGAACGCTCGCCGCCGCGAGTGATATGTTTCTTTAAACAATATCTTCGAATAGTGGTGTCAATCTTGTACCACCAGAGTATCTTCCCAGCATATTTATCCTTGTCAATGTGTCTCCCTATCGTACCGAGTATATTTAATATTTTTCTCGGAATATGTCAAAAATATCACAGTATAAAAAGATGTTTATTATAAAGTAAATTTAGTATAAAGTAACATCTACTTTTCTTTTCATTTGATCTCGATATTCTTATACGCAGATTGACGAGAAGAGTGCATTCATGCGAAGAAAAACATAATCCCGTTAAAAAAAGGTTTTTTTACTTTTAGACACTGAGATACCTGGAGTAACACTTGAGAGTTTACATATCCGAATGTTGCACTACAATACAGTACAGTGAATATAAAAATATTCGGATTATACACCGAGACAGAGTAGTGACTTTGAATGCTCAATATTTTCTCATAGTTGTGACCTCTTTCATACAATCGCATATTACTAAAGAGGATTAAGAGGAGAACAATGAAAAATTTCCTCTGTAATAAATATTACAATATATACGACGTGTTTACCGCAGCACGCGCTTCATTAGGTGAAAACGAATGCCGGCTGGCCGCTCTTTTGTAACCGCATGTAATTTCAACGAGTCTCACACGGGACTCCTTTATCGCGTTCATTGCGCAACGCATCGAAGAACGACTGCTCAGGCACCGGCCATCTTTCTGCTACGCCACATGGGATCTCGTCGGGGCACTCGCGGTGACCCTCCACTTACGGTGCCATTTGCTCGTCGAAACTGTCCCAAGGAGCTTCCGCACAATAGTCGGGATGAAAGATGCAGCGCCTCGTGCATCTTTCACACCTCTTGTGCATTAGACACCGCGCGGGTGTTGCTTCGTGGCGTAATAGAGCAGAATGGACGAGGAGTCGGCGCATGGGGGAGAAACGGCTGGGAAGGAGAGTTCAGAGAACGAGAGGCGTAACGAGAAACAAGGGGGTGTAAAGAGATGAATATCACGAGAGGAGAGAGAAAAGAAGAGAGAGAGAGAGAGAGAGAGAAAGAGAGAGAGAGAGAGAGAGAGAGAGAGAGTATGTGTGTGTACGCGTGTGTGTGAGAGAGATAAAGGGAGGGCGGGGAGCAGGGAGGAGACGCGTGAAAAGAGAAAGAGGACCTTGTTCCGAGTCCGCCATGCGGAAAGCGATCTCGGCCTGCTGCTTGGTGAATCCGCGGTAACTAACTGTCAGCTCCGGAAAATTCTCTCTCTTTCACGGTCGCGGCTTTTGGCCACCTCCATACTCCAGTGGTCTGGACGACGAAGCGTCGGCTATCGAAAAAAAAGAAAAAAAAAATTCGGCCCCGCCGAGTCTGCTTGTGAGCTCGTGTATACGTGTGTACACGCGCGTGCGCGGGATACGCGCGCTTCGGGTTTGTCGTTTTCATCGTCATTTCGAACGATCGAGGACACACGTCGATACACACGTGGATGAATGTTTCTAAGCTTTCGCTCACCTGTATCCTGTCCTCAGGTAGATCAGTCCTCAGACTCAACATCTCGCGGGCGTAGACGTCCGGATAATGGGCCTCCTTGAAAGCTGCCTCCAGCTCCTCCAGCTGTTGTGACGTGAAGATCGTCCTGGAGCAACAACCACATGAACCTAGTTATATGCCATTACAGCTTTTCTCTTAAAACTACCCTACGCCCGTAGTAGGTCGCACGTCGAGCGAACGCGTTTCCGCAGCTCTAACAGACAGATCAGCCCGGATTAACGGAGTTAATTTCGAATCGCTAGAATTGCTCAGCTAGAAGCGAGCTGGAACAAATGTCACACGCTTGTGACAATTAGCCGCGAGTTAGCGCTTCAGTGAAACCCCTCAAATCTCCTGCAGGCAAGGGGGAAAATTTGCAAATCGTGTTACCGAGATCACATCGAGCAAGCACATCTCTTCCTTTTATCGACGAGCACCAATCGAAATCTCCCGCTGCTTCGTATCGGCTAATTATTCCAATCGTCACATTTGAGATAAAGCATGCGCGAAAATACTCGAGAGAGAAATTATTAGTTACGTATTAATGACCTGCGTAACCGCGTTCGCACGTCGCAAGGCATGTTCCAGCGAAAAGGAGCCTCTCAACACGGTGGTGGTGTTGCCGCACGAAACGAGTAACAAATGTTACTTCATGTTCTCTGAACACGTTGTTCAATTATCCTTGAGCATGTGACGCTAATGTCAACGTTCAACGCGTGCGCATCGACTGGCGAGAACAAAGGCGCTATTTTCCGCCGACTGTGCCCCTCCGCCGATTATTGATCGAGGTGTTAATTGAATCATCGTCGCGATAATACTTGCGAGGCCATTCCCGTTCCGCTGGTCAACGCATCGTGTCCGCATCGACGTCGCCGCTAAAACAGCCGCGAGTGGCCGCGACTGCGTGTATTCCTCCCCGCCATTAGCTCGCAATTAGTTGCAAACGCCGGGTGTACGCGCGTCCCGTCGTATATATAAATACACGAGAGACCGAGGCGCAACGTCCGTAACCGATGATTATCCCGCTTCTTTTCTTGTTTCTTTTCCTCCTCTTTCTTCCTCCCTCTCTCTCTCTCTCTCTCTCTCTCTCTCTCTCTCTCTCTCTCACTCACTATCTGCCTTTCTTTCCCTCTTTTTTTTCTTTCTCTCGTGCATAAGCGAGATGCGTAACTTTGTCCATCGACGCGGCTGTTCGCGCCGCGGTGGACGGTGCTTAATGGCACGATCGAGCCGATCCCCTACGCCTTCCAGAAGGAAGGCGCGTGATACGACAGAAACCGGAGAAGCGAATTTGACGGCAAGATGTCCAATTAGTCTTGCGATTCGACAAATTGTAGGTTGCGCCGGAGCGAGCGCGAGCTGGCGTCCCTCTCTGCCTTTGTGGGCCGTACGAAAGCTCCGAAACTGAAAGTCATTTCCCGGACGATCGTCGGCTCGTTAAGCGGACACGCGAAAATCGCCGGCGGATTTTGTCTCGGTTTAAAGACCGTCCCGCGTAATCGTCTCGAATTCCGCCGGACTCGGATTGATTTCCCGATCCTCACGAATCCGACCGAAACGCTCGTTCCCCGCTGCTGAGAAACGTCGAGCGCGGCTCGTCGAGGTCGGAGCCTGCCGGAGGAACTTTAAGCCTTACAACCCCTGGCGAATGTGTTTTTAATTATTGCGGTTGCAGACGTTGTCGCGCAATAAAAAGAAAGGCAAACACAGAGAGAGAGAGAGAGAGAGAGAGGTGGGAGGCAGGGAGGGGGAAGAGAAAAAACTATTTGCTTGTTACACTCGCGCGGAGTGTAATTACATTTCGTTTCTAAATTAGTTCCTTTCATGTTAAAATGACTGTGTCGTGCGTTTGTAAAACGCGGGAGAATGCGCGCAATTACGGTGTATCCTGCTCTCTATGTGAGGCGCCGATGCGTTTCTATAAATAACGAAATAATTCTCTATCGGCTCTTCGGATTTTCAAATGGAAATTATCCGCCGCGGAGTTGCGCAAATACGCACGTTAGTCGGTCGGTCGGTTGGTCGGCTGTCGGTCAGAATTAATAACGTTAAGCTCGCGTGCGTACGACAAATCTCCGGGATGTCGCTCGTTAACGCGAGACGATTAATCCGTCGCTGCGCGAGCGTCCGACGGTCCTCGGGATAATTAGGTTCTAATACATGAAGAAGATACCGCTATTTCGTGTCTCTCGAGCGTGTACTTACAAGTCGTTCGCGCGCGCGCGCGCACGCGATCACAATGGGACTTGTACCGTTTAATTTATCCGAAGAACGCAATTTAGCCGTACGGTCTCGTTATTGCGCTACGCAATTATCTTGGCGATTGCGTCGGCAAGGTATTGCACCCACGATCGACGATTCTAGCTCTCTTCATGCTCATCGAACGGATAACGGGATCGACGATGCGATGAGGTGCGAGATGGAGCTTTTGACGCGATATTTTATTCGGCGCATTTCGAGTCGCGTTCCGAATATTGAGATTACTTCGCGCGGCTGCCAAATCCTGCGTTTTACTTGACCGGAACAAAGAGACGAGTCAGAAACGATCGATACCGTGCACGCGATGGCGTCGTGGAAGACGGCATGATTTCAAGCTGCCGGGATTGATTAGTTATCGCTGCGCAAAAATAGCGCGCATGCTTCCGTTCAGTCTGCGATCAAATTAGTCGAACGAGGTGTCCAATTTGAGCGCATCGGCGCGTGACGAACGGCGACACGAGAGACACGAGGAGAGAAAAGCAGAGTTTCTGTCAGAGGCTCACCTATGACGGCGTTTCTTCTTCTTCTTTTTGCTGAAACCCGAGAGTCCATCCACCGTGAAGTCCTTGCCCGACTCTATGTTGTGTCCGACACCTGTAACAACAGGAAAACAGATCGAGGATATTCTCTGGCTGTTAGGAATTGCTGCTGCAACGCTGTAACGAAATTATGAGGGAGTTTGCGAGTAACCACCAAAGTAGCCGCGATGCGTGAGTGTGCGGCTGTCAGTGCGTGTGACGTTCACAGCACCGAAACAGAAGAATTAGTGTTGAGTGCGGTTGCGCGAGCGATCGGGATTTTCTGCCGTTAAGGCGTGCCCATTAGTCGCGAGAAAAAAACACACTCCGATCGCGAAAACGGGACGAAAACGGGCCAAATTAACGGAATTAAAGCACGCTACGCGCAAAACGCGTGGGATCTTGGGATATTAAATATTAACAACGCGACGACGATGGTAATATTTTAGTGAATTTGCGCGGCGGCTCATTATTTGGTGTATAGCATTATCGGTATAATTGATAATTATACGCCCCTGTGTGTTGGAGCGGCGCGCACATTGCGTATCAAATTACCTATTATACCAGACTTGCCAATGATTCGGGCACCCCCGGATATCTGCGCCCGCGTTGCGTGCCTAAAAGCGAGCGAGTTTTGCATTTCCGTAATTGATTTTTCGTCAATTTATTTTCCTCCGCCTCGCGGAGCGAAAAAGGTAGAGCGATCCGAAAATGCTTCACCCTATCTCGGCTTGGGGATTAATGCGCTTCTGGTACGAACTAATGCACTTCATTCCGAAATAAAGGAAGCTTTTCTTCGGAGGTTTATACACCTCGCCACTTTCTCACACGATGGACAATAGATTGAGGATTTTGCAGTGTGAGTGGGTGAAGCCACTCTTCTTCCCAGTCAAGAGCAACAATGCTGCAACTCTCGCGAATTTCCAGCATTATCTTTGCGCTGACTTGGCTGGCTTGTTGTTAGGTAGTGCTAATTATGAAAAACGCCGAAGTCCCAGCACGGGAGGGGGGACTTTACGGGACGGATCTTACATTTCAGAGAAGAAACATTCGCAGCTCATTGTAGAAAAGTAACCAATACGACGAGAATAATCGCATACAGATTGTTCGTCTGCGTACTCGAGCGTTCGAGCGTCTATAAACAATTTCGTAAAATCCTCGTGAACCGGAAGAGGTTAATTAATAGATCTCTCCCCTCCCTCCCCCCACCCCTCTATCCCTTTCTCTCTTCCTTCAGCGCATCAGTCAGCGCTGCGCTCGCGATACTTCGCCAGGAAAAATTCGAGCATCGCAATTAGGAAGCTCCCGCGGCCTGTGAGGTATTTCTCTTTTTTTCTCTCTTTTCCTGAAACGAAACTGTCTCGCGGGTACGAGCATAAACGGCAATTTTTCGTGCGCGCAGCCAGGCCAAAGGGGCGACACGCGGCGAGCGCGGAAGGGAGCGGAGCTCGTCGTTGGCGCGCGCACAGTGCTGCGAACAGAAGCCGTGGTCCGAAAATAATTATCAATTGTAAATTAATGCCAAATTAACGAGCGTAAAGCAGCCCGGAGCGGCGCCTGTGCGCACAATGAAGCTCTTCCCTAAGGGTAACTCTCGTTATACTACTGTTCCTGTAGCACCATCATTGCCGCCGCCGCCGCCGCCGCCGCCGCCGCCGCTGGCTAATTAACTAGTAATTAAGAGCTTAATTCCAATTATACGTGTCCCTCAACTAATTGGAGTCTGAAACGTTCGCTGACGTCACCATTAGCGCGTGCGAAATCGGTCCACGCGGATTCTCCTTGTTCCACCGATATCTCCCGATGGCATTCTTACTTTTTGTGGACACATGCACGTGTGTGTACACACAGCGCCAAGTGTCCATTTCTTTTCACATAAGCTTTTCAATCGACGTCCTTCCAAGATTCCTTCTTAACGTCTACGATTCACGTGGTGCTCAGCGTCCTCGCCGCGTACGAGATAATCATCGCGCGATTACCGCGTACAACATAATACTGGAAAATTATCTTTCTCACGCCTCGCAATCGAGGATACTCGCGCTCAAGGGCACACCTTGTTGATTCTTCGTGCGAGCGTGCATTTTTCCACGCGAACGAATCGTCAAGAGTGATTTCCCGCGGCTATGTTGCATTCTGTCAAGCTGATTGCTCGCTGCATGATAACGCGATGCCTCGAGTGCAAGAGAGAGAGAGGTCGCGTTCGTCGATTTGCATTTGCTCGACGCGCGAGTGAAGCGCGTCCGGAGAAGCACTCCGGCGAAAGATAAGGGCCGCTTGCGGCTTCCACGTAGCGGCTTCCTTATTATTGTTTATCGTGGATAAACGACACACGCGGCCGGGCCGGCTCTCCGCGTGAATTATCGCGGCCGATCGAGAATTAACGCAGCCAGCCATTGGCGATGGTGCGCAGCGGCTGAGCAGTATTGCTGAGTGCATTTGTAAGAACACGTTGTAAGAACGGAAAAATGGCCGGAGCGAGGGAGGGAAAAATAAATATTTCAAGCCCCGAGTACCGCGCGCGCGCGCGCGCGCGCCCGGCGACGCTTACGGCTCGCAGTATGCATTGTTTTCGGTGCTGCAAAGAGGCCTCTTTACGCCCCCTCCGCCGGTGCCACGTTGCCTTCTTGTTCCGGGTTTTTAAGTGCGCTCATTTACCTCAAAGCGCCGAATCAATCTTCCCGCTTTGCGTCGGCAGCACAACATGCCGTGCCGAGGCGAATGTCTGCGTGCAGAAGGCAGTTTCGCGGTTTTTCGCGCGCTGAAGAGATGAAAACGCGAAAGAATTGTGCAAACAATTTGTTCTCTGTTTCTCCTCTCGATCGACCGTACGGGAAAAAATCTTTCTGTGTGATCGAACAAAATCTGAAGGCGAAAACTCGACGACGACGAATAATATTTATCGCTGTTGTCGCGGCCGCGACGAAAATGCCCGTCTGTGCATGCAGTTGCGTTAAAACTCACGTGGAATAATCCAAAATATTTAGCTGAGTAGAAACTACCCTCTGCAAAAGTTGTTCCTATAATAAACAAGTCTCTCCTTATTCATTTTTGTTTTCGCTATGCAACAAACACTCGAAAAAAAAGTAACTTCAGAATGAGCGGAATCATCTGAATTTTAGAGGATTTTATTCTTATATATGGCCTCAAAAGGATTCCTCTAAGATTAAGAGGAAAATATCATAAACACATTATTCTTAAAGTCAGAGGGATTATATGTTATATGTATAAATCGCAAATCTTATTGATTTTAATATAAATCTCTTTTTATACACAGATTATTTAATCTTTTTCTAAGAGGATTATTATTTATTCTTACTGTACTTTATTTTTACTAGTTATACTGGTTAATTTGAAAAAATTATTATATTATATAGAGAAAAATAATATATATGGATGTACTTCTAGCTCCAGTTTTACAATAAGTAGGCACGAATGAAATAAGATCATTGTAACAAATAAATTTCCAACCCGAGTTTTGTTATAAACTTCATAGCTGCAAAGTTACAAAAGATGTCCATCATAACCAATTCTGTGAAACATAGTTAAAAGAAAGAATATATTATTCAACTTCTTGCAATAGATTATAAACTGCATTCGGGTAAACTAATTATGGGTAAATTATTTTCGTTATATGTTACTGCGACACACATACTTTTTTTAAAAAGCGTTCCATATATTCTGACCCATAAGCATATGGTTATTTTTTCGTTCATGTCTGGAGGTAGAGCATAACTGAACAAAATAAGTGGACATTCAAATCAACATATTCCTCTCTATATAAGAGAAAAATTAATTGATATAAGAGGAAATCCTCTTGACATAAGAAAAAAACAGTTAGAGTAATATCTAATAAATTTTAGATGAATGGTTCACTTTAATCGCTTTATCGAAAGAGCAATCCTTTTTCTGTAAAAGGCTTCGCTTAGAGTATGAGACAATGGAAAAAGTCACTTTACAAACAAAATACTTTCTTTTGGATGAAATATAATTGCACTAATGGAGTCATATTTTTACCGACTCTCTCTTAAAATATTGTTCGTCTCAAGAGAAATGTCTCAAGTGCGAGAATTTTAGAATTTTAAAAACAACACCTCCAGCACACACACACACAGAAAGAGAAAAAGAGAGAGAGAGGGAGAGGGAGAGGGAGAGGGAGAGGGAGAGAGAGAGAGAGAGAGAGAGAGAGAGAGAGAGAGGGAGAGAGAGAGAGAGAGAGAGAAAGAGAGAGGGAGCACTGAAACGAGCGACCGTTTCTGGAGAACGTTAATAACTAGCGGCTTCTGGAACGTTTCTCTTTGCAATAATAAGTAAATCCTCGTGTTATCAGCCATAGCGTGCGCGGCATTGCCGTCGGCGGTTATTTTGATCGGATCCGATGTACCGAACGTTTATGGGAGTCCCGAAAACATCGTAGTTCATTCCGAGTTGTTTTCGTTGCCGTCCACAAGCGGCCGACACAGCGTGCGTGGTGATCGATATCGCGGCGCGTCCTGTCGAGGTAACGGCGCGCGTCGCTTAAGTAGTAGTCCGTAACCGAATCGATTAGTCAAATCTAGTTAGCTATTAAGCACGTGTACGTCGACGCGCGCGTCAATACGCGAAGCGTTAGCCGGACCATCTAATTCCTGCCTGCCTGCCTGCCTGCCTGCCTGCCTGTTTGCCTGCTTGAACCTAATCCCTTCGCAGCGCCCTCGGATCCACCGCGACCTCCCTCTAGAATTTCCCAAAGGGTCGCCGCGAGCGAGCTCTCGAAAAATAATTACTCGTCCGATCCGAAACGGTGGAACGGCGGTTTCGCGATCAGCCCGAAAAATGCGAATGCGCCGATCGCGTTTCCCCAGCTTGTCCGTTGCCGGTAGCATCGCGTTACGGCCAATTTCGTGTTTATTATACGATCGATCTTGCCTAACGATAATTATCCATTGCTAACGCACCGCCGCTGAGCGACTCATCTCGATCTCGATGTCGTCCAACTCGATGAGATTTGCGAACGTTTACACAACGAACGAATGATGGTGATGTCTGCGCCTCTGTTAATTCTGTGCGTCAGTCCGATCATAGCTGGCATCGTTGTTG